CGCAGATGATCGAGGACTGGCGGCGGGAGAAGGCGGCACGCAAAGAGAAGGAGCGGGAGGACAAGGCCCGCCGGGCGAAGCTGCTGGCCGAGGCCCAGGAGCGTTTTGGCCACAAGGTGGACCACCGCAGTGCCAAGTTCCAGGAGCTGGTGCAGGAGATGGAGAAGAAACAGCGCAAGGAGCTCAAACTGAAGAAGAAACAGCTCAAGGAGGAGGCAAAGAAGATAGCTGCCGCCGCCGCTGACCCAGAACCTGTTCCTGTCTCAGCTGAGGCGGCTGAACCAGCCTAGGGGGGCACGTGATCTAGGAGCCTCCGATTGGGTCACTGCTGGTTGTCACTGAGCTAAATTCTGTTCCCAGTGCGTGCTAGACGGGGGCTGAGCAGGGAGCTGGCTCATGCTGGAACGCCAATCATGCTTCTCAGAGCAGCAAGTCAACACCACCAGTTACTCTAATTAGGGGGCGAGGGTGAAGCGCTGGGTCCATGGGCACTGCACTGCAAGGTCAGCCCCAGTGTAGGAGCTGTCCCCTGGAGTGTGGCAGGGGGTGCGGGCAGCCTCCCTCCCTGCGTGTACAACCAGCCAGCTCGGCCTGGGTTCTTCAAACACCCCCAGCTGGACTCAGATCTGTGCACGGGCCACCTCGTGGAGTTTGAGTAGGGCAGAGGGAGGTCATTGGAAGGTCCTGCTCGCAAGCCCTAGGCTCCCCTCCCCCCGCTTCAGATTGGGAATGATACGTTGTGGCATTACCTTGCAGAGCCCCGGGGCTCCCGAGTGAATGCTGCTATCGGAGAGAGGGTGACGACCGCATGGTGACTGTGTTAGCAATGTAACCACTAGGCTCCTTTCTCAGCCAGTTCTGTCCCTACCAAGCCGGCAACCTGAGATCCCTGTACTTTGTATGTTGAAATTAAAGGCTCTGAGCAGGGCCTTGGCTACTTGGGACTTTTCTTTATCAGCCACTTCTGATCCCAGAAGGTTCTAATGTCTCTCCTGACCACAAACGTGCCTTAGAGACCACTGGTGCTTCTAAGAGATGTCTTGCTTTTCCCCTCCCCCAAATCTGTCCCCCCGTGGGGTTAGTTCACTAGGATGCCCTTTTAACTTTGTCTTGAGCTGTTGCTATGGGTTGTTATACAGCAGTCACGTTCCAGCCCAGTGGTGGCTGCATTTCAGCAGTGGGCAAGTGACGTGTGTGTGTGTGTAAAATCGCTCTTAGCTAGGGCTTTTCATCGGTAGGTCTCCAATAGCTTTCCAAAGGAGGTCAGTATCTCTACCCCCGTTTTACAAATGGGGAAAACCGAGGCATTGGGAGGAGAAGGGACTTGCCCAAAGTCACGCAGCAGGTCAGGGACTAGAATCCAGGTCTCATGACACCCAGGCCTGTGCTCTATCCACTAGCCTCCGTTCCCTACCTCAAGGGGCAGCACAATTTTGTTAGGAAGAGGTGAGATTCACTGATCTTTCACAGGTAAAATACCTGTCCATGGCCAGTTCCCTGCACTCTCTGCACCTAGCTGCACTTTCTTCCAAATTTGGAGACTGACTCATACATGGCAAGGGTGTAACCGGATGCTTGCCCTTCCCTAGAGCGTCCCCTGCAGTCCTGCTCCCCGATCGCCAGCTTGGGGTAGCACTGTTACTCCTGAGTAAATACGGGCAAGTGAAATGGGGCGCAGAGAGGGCAAGCACGTTAAAGTGGGAATAGAGCCTGGGCGGTGACTTCCTGCGCTCCCTCCTCTAACCACTAGATCCCCCCCTCCCAGAGCTGGCAATAGAACCCAAAGTCCTGATTTCTGGTCCTGTTCCTGCCACTAGATCCCACTCCCCAATCCCCCCTGCTCCGACCACCACCGTACACTCAAAGAATCCTGCTGAGTGTTTGCTGCTTTCTCTGCTTCAGAGGAGAAAATGTGATCCCAGAAGCGTAGAGCTGGACAGCCCCTCCCCCCACCCTCCCCGCTCAGGTAGGCCCAAGTAAACTGAGACTGGCCCTGACAGGTGTTTGGCCAATCCATTCCTAAAAGCCCCCAAAGACTGGATTCCTCCCTTGGAAGCCTAGTCCAGAGCGTAACTAACTCAAGAGGCAGGACATTTTTCCTGGTATCTAACCTAAATCTCCCTTGCTGCGGATTAAACCTGTTACTTCTTGTCCTACCCTCAGTAAACATGAACAACTTCTCCCCTCTAGAACAGCTTTGAAGACTGTCAGGTCCCCCTCAGTCTTCTTTCCTTGAGACTAAACCTGCTCCCCCCCCCTTTTTTTTAAACCTTTCCTCATATTGTAAGAGTAGGGAAGACTGGGAGCCAGGACTCCTGGGTTCTACCTATATTAGGTACTTACAGGGCCCCATCCCTGAGATATTTTGGTTTGAGCAGTGGCCTGCTAAACCCAGGGTTGTGAGTTCAATCCTTGAGGGGGCCATTTAGGGAACTGGGGTAAAAATCTGTCTGGGAATTGGTCCTGCTTTGAGCAGGGGGTTGGACTAGATGACCTCCTGAGGTCCCTTCCAACCCTGAGATTCTATGATTTGAGCCCCTCACAATTTTTAATGTATTTATCCTAACACATGGCCCTGTGAGGCAGGGCAGTGCTAGGATCCCTGTTTTAGGGATGGGGAAACTGAGGCACAGCATGGTTAAGTGAGTTGCCCATGTCACACAGGCAGTCTGAGGCAGAGCAGGGACCTCTCCTGTGCTGAGTTCGTACCCTAATTGCCGAGCCAGTTCCTCTTCCCTCCTGAGTCACTGCATAGCCTTGACAAGTTACTTCCCCTCTCGCTGCCTCAGGGGGGTAGCTGGGAACAGAAATTGGTGACTGTTTCGAAAGCGTTTCACAGCTCCGAGGACAGAGGTTTTCCTCCCCACGCTCTGAGCTGTTTAGACACTTCACTCCCCCCCCCGCCCCCATCCCTTTGGCATATTTCCGGAGCTGTTTCACACAGCTGGGACAGCTCTCCTGATCAAACAGCAAAATTGGTTTCCTCGCAACTCCGGCAGCTGGGCTGCCGGCTTGGGAGACCCCTCTTCACGCAGAGCAGGTGTTCGCACGGTTGAAAAACAAAATCCTCCCTCGCGGGTAGCAGCTGGGCGAGCCAGGGCCCAGCTGCAGAGCAAGGAATCACGCTCAGAATGGCAGCTTTGCAGCTGGCAAGGGTGCACTTCCCATGGGGACCGCTAGGAGGCGGCAGCAGCGTGAGTGACTCAAAGCCCAGTTATAACCTCACTGGAGGGAGGTTTTGTTTGCTGATAGGGGAATGTGTGTGGCAATCCCCAGTTGATTCACCCCAGAAACAATGCTCAGGGCTTAGCCCCCGTTGGGTTGGATGTTTACCAAGGAGAGTCAGGGGTGTCATTCCCTATGGAGTAAGGGGGGCAGTTGCCTGCCCCCCCCCCCCCCGCCTTTTCATAGGTCCATGGGCTCCACTTCTGATACCGCTTACCACCTTCTCTGTTCTGCCATAGTCTTGCTGCCCACCCGCCCGACAAGTGGCCACCTGGGAAACAATCCTGGAATAATAATTATTTCAATCACCCTCGTACAGCTAAGGGGCTCTTCCCGCTCTCTCACCAGAGCCCGCAGCCGGAAGGAAGTTGAAGCTAGACACATTCAGGGGCACGGTTTTAACAGGGAGGGTAATTAACTATTGGAATGACTTGCCCCGGAGTGCGGGGAATTCTCCAGCTGGGGTAAGCTTTAAATCGAGCTGCTCTGGTTCAAACAGGAATTCATCCAGGGCTGGGGCTATACGGGAGGTCAGACGAGAAGAGCTCTGAATCACAGCCCAGGTGCTCCCTGACATCAGTGGCATTGGGCCCCTAAGTACCCTTGAAGATCTGGGCTTATGACACGATTCCACGTGTAGCCAAGCCCTCGGAATTGCTAGTGAGAAGGACTTACGAGGGATGGAAACTGAATGCACTAGAAAGTTGTGCCACTTTAAATACCACACCATAGTTTAAGTGGTACAACCCTCCGTAGTCCAGCTGCCGTTCTGTAAAGGTGTTTCTAGCAGCATCGCTGTTCCCACGTGGGAAGTGGAGGAAGCCTGTCATCGCAGTTCTGCTAGAGGTTGGACAGGAGTAGCAATACCTGTTTAAATAAAAGGTGATACCAGTACCCAGTCTGTGTATAAAGCAGGTCTGCGGTCGGAGCACAGTCCCACTGAAAAACCTCTATGACATTTGCCAAGTAAAAGTGCTTTCGAAAGCCCGAGCCTAAGGGGGCACCGTAGATGGATACAAAATAATGAACGGAATAAAGATATCATACCCTATCATGGTATGATAATCCCTAGTGCTTCATCAGTAGGTCTCAAAGCACTTTCCAAAGGAGGTCAGTAGCACTAGCCCTATTTTACAGAGTGGGGAAACTGAGGCACAGACCAGTGACTGTGACTTGCCTAAAGTCACCCAGGAGGCCAGTGGCAGAGCTGGGGAATAGAAGCCAGTTCTCTCAGGACACAGCATTGCTCTTCCCACTAGGCCACACTGCCTCCCGGCTCAGCACATCTAAATCCCCCCCCCCCAAGCAATACTTATTTGTACATAAGGTGCCTTTGGCCTGCGGAACCCACCGCCACATGATATTGGGCCCAAGATTTTATCAGTATGCAAAAAAGGTGATCATTATGCAGAGGATAAGAACAGTTGCAGTTACATTAGACAAGATACAAAAACATTAGGATTATAGATTCAAGGCATAAGTTGACCCTCTTATTGGCTGGGTTAGGGAGAAATTGCCCCATGGGCTGGATAGCCCATCATTACCTACTGGGAGGTGTCCTGCACCCGCCTCCACAGCAGGTGGTGCTGACCTGGCATTTCCTATGGGCCTGAATTCAGCTGAATCAGTGGAGATCAACACACACAGCACCCTAATATCAGGCCCCTGGGCAAAGCCGCATCCTAAATAAAACCAACAGGGGGCAGAGTTCCATATATTGAAGGGTGCCCCAAACATTTTTGCAGCAGGATTAAAAAATATCCAACACCCTGGAATACAAATTAAACATCTTTATTTTTTTTTTAACATCGCCTCCAGAATTAAAATGTATTCAAATTCTCGCCGGAGCCCAATTCGATTTTAAAAGAAGATTCCTCCGCACAGATCCCAAACGTCCATCACTTAACCAATTGTTCATGTAAAGAAAGTCCCATCACCCCTTCACTACAGCCACCTTGCGATGGGTGTTTCTTCTCCCGCTAGCTCTGTTCTGGGGTTAGACATTCACACGTGGAGTGGGGGTAAAACCAGCTGTCTCCTTGTCACGGGGAAATCGTGCACTCCTTGCTCTGGCCCCAGTAGCAGCACTGTCCCTACCAGGGCCTGTCTATTCGAACGTGCACCCTTGTAGCTGTGACTGGGTTTAAAAGCAACTGATTCAATTCAACCAACGCAAGCCCCTGTGGACGCTTATTTTGGTTTAGCTTAAATCTGTCCCTAATGAACTCAGGCCCGATTACATGGACAGTTGCATCTGTTTCACTGAGGGTCTGTCTGCGCTGAAAACTGCACCGGGATAACGACGTGCATTTCAGATCTGTCGTGAAACCAGCACAAGCTCCTGGACGGGCACCTCCCCACTCGAGTGCATTCAACCTCACACCTTTCTGCCAGCGCCTCGCCCGCCCAGCAGAGCTCTCTTGGCAAACAGCCCAGTGCATCATGGGTACGCATCCCAGCATCCTCCCGCGGCCACATGGCTTGTGGGGCAGCTGCTGTGCATTGTGGGGATCCCCCTTTATTCCATCCCAGAGCATCTACACACAAAGATGCACCGGTTGTACTAAACCAATGTCGGTTAAAGTTGCCCAACTTCTGTGTTTAGACAAGCCGCTCAACGAAACCCAAAGAAACCCAGCTTAAACCGGAGTCTCTCGCGCTGATTTCGCTAGCTCAGATCAAAGTGTAGCCGGTGGGACTTTAATCTAGACAAGGCCAGAGTGGACTGAGTGAAATGGTGACAGAGGATTTTCTACCTAAAAGCACCCAGCCGCAAGAGATCTGCATTCGAGTCCCAGGTTCCCCATTTGGCGTCCGTGGTTCAAAGTTGCAGGCCATGTTGCCTCAGTTTCCCCATTTGTCAAAGGGGAACTTGGATCAGAGGCTGCCCACCTTATTAAAAACACACTAAGAACCGGCCGTAGGATTCGGCCCTTTTAACTACAAGACTCCTGAGCCCACGGCCTTCGCGGGAGACCTGAATTTCCGGACCAAAAGAGAAGAGGCGGAAATATAAAAACAAGGCCACCGCTGCGTTTAAAAAAATCGCCTGCCAGCGCTGGAGGCAGCGACAGGTCCCGGGTCCCCAGGATCGTCCCCAAACAGGATCTCAGCGATGACGGCAAGAGACCCCCCGTCCAGCTCTTGGCAAGGCACTGGGTCAGGGCGGAGCTGGAGGGATCTTTCCCCCGTGTCTCCAATTCCTACACGGGGGGATGGAGCCAGCTGGTCCCGGGGGACCAGAACCGGGGGGTGGGGGGGGACCGTGGAGGGCCGAGGGACCTGTGGCTACGGAGGTTGCAGCTGGACCAGGGAAACCAGCAAGGGAACAAACAGCACAGCACTTACCGTGCTCCGTACAGCGATCGGCACCTCCACAAGCGACTAGTCGCAACTTAGTTTAATGAAAGTGTTGGGGGGGCAGAGGGGGGCGTGGTTAGCCCTTATCCTAGGAAACTAGGAATTGGGTGGGCATCGCAGGGTGAGCTGGCCCTTTAAGGGTATTTGGGTTCAGCTTTAAAGGGACGGCTCATCCTGCGGCACTCTCCCTCAGGGTCCAGCTCTGCCTCCCCGCCCCTTATTTATCACAGTGGTACCCCCTGGTGCTGTGGGCACACGCCCACAGATGCCCCCCCCCTCCAGACTCCGCCTTTGCTGACAAAGACGTCGCTCTGGGGAGCAGAGCGGCGCAGGAAGGGTTAAGTCAATTTGGCTTCATTGAAAGTGCAGGTTCCCTTCGGTAGGGGCTGGACAGGTGATGCCACCCCCCACGAGTCCCGCGGCCCCCCCCCTTCTTGCCTGGGGGGGGGCAGTTCTTTAGGAGGAGCTAGGTCCTTCCATGCCGTTCTCCTCCTGGTCAGCCCTGAGCCGGGACAGAACCGCGTGGATCCGGAAGAGCGTCCGGGACTCCATGGAATAGTTCTTGTAGTTGTTCCTAAATTGAGGGGGGGAGAAGGGGTTAATCACTGGGTGGAAACAGCCACAAATACACCCTGCCCGCCCCCCACCCTGCCAGGGCCAGAGTCTCTTCATCATACGCATCATACGCATCCCCCCTCCCCCTCAGCGCCCCCCCCAGTGAGCTTCCCGGTGTGCTGGCCAGTCCTGGGACAAGGTGAACCAGAACCATCCGAGTGGGGGGTGTCCCGAGCCCTGTCCCCCAACTCAGCCCCACAGCCAGCCGTCCATCCCGCCATCCAACAGTTCATAGACGCAGCCCCTCCCCCAGTGCCCTGGAGTGGGGAGCGACCCTCCTGTAGACCCAGGACCCTAGAGGAGGAGCGACCCCCATAGACACAGAACCCCCCACCTTGCCATGGAGGGGGGAGTGACCCCCACAGGCCAGGGTCGGGTGCAGAGATCCATCGAGGCCCCAGAGAACCACCCAGCCGGGGTCAGAGCGGAGCTGGACAGTCCCCCACCCATCTCCTCTTCCTGTGGGATTATGGGAAATTCGGACCCCAGCAGGGAGAAGCCAGGTGGGGGACGGGGGCAGAGGAGCCCAAAGCGTTGCCTGGTCCCACCACCGTGCCTCCCCTCCCCCCGGCACAGGCAGGGCAGGGCAGGGCCCTGCCTGGGGGGCAAAGGGGCAGACGGCTCCAGCCCCTCTGGCCCCCCAGGGCACCTCAGCACCACAGTGCATTCTGGGATACACCCGCTGGGGCTTCTGGGAACGTTCCCACCGTTTTGCAGCACCCTCCCGCCTCGTGTAGCCGGCCCCACCTGGCTCGGCGCAGCAGCGGGATGGCCGCCTCACTCCGGCCCTGCGCCAGGTGCAGCAGGCCAAGCTCCAGCAGCGCGTTGGGCACCAGGTAGTGATCGTAGCGGAGCCGCTTCTCACTGCCAGCGGGCGGGACAGACAGACAGACAGACGGTCATTCACGGGGGAGGGGCTTCCCTGGGGGCACCCCAGACAGACCTGCGAGAGCACGGCGCCCTCCAGACACCCCCGGGCCCCTAGCAGGGGAACGACCCCCCCACAGACCCAGGACCCCCCTGATCCCTAGAGGGGGGAATGACCCCCCCACAGACCCAGGACACCCTGTTCCCTAGAGGGGGGAACGACCCCCCCACAGACCCAGGACCCCCCTGATCCCTAGAGGGGGGAACGACCCCCCCACAGACCCGGGACACCCTGTTCCCTAGAGGGA